TACAGGAATAAAAATGCATTTAAATGGCACTGAGAGGACGAATGCTAAGAAGCTGAAAGGAAATACAGAACATGAAAATACAAACTTAATGTTAAGATAATTGTCTGAGCAGACCTTACTTACAGTCAATTAAATGCCATTCTAATGAAAGTTTTAGGCTTTCTCAGACTAGTACTGGCTATGTGCCAGTCTCTTGAAGAAAGTTGTAGAAGCAGTGTGCAACTGGGACTAAAACAGAGAAAATGAGCCAGGAAGCAGCTTTTTCGATGGACTTAAAAGACAAATCAAAATTTTGTATCTCAAAAAATCAAGATTTATAAGGGTAAATGCTTATAAATTTTGTCCTGGTGGAAATTCAATACTTTGAGAGAAATGGGCACTTACTTTCATCTAAATTGCTGAAATAAAAATGAATATGGAAACAATATAGTGGTATCAATCAATATACAATAAAACAACTACAATAACTCCAACTGGAAGGAACTGTGCAATGAAATAAAATGTTTAGTCTCTCTTTTCCCCTGAAGTCTCATTAATGAAAAAATTACAAAACTTTTTTAATAGGAAACATAGAAAAAAATCTATGACTGAAATTGTCATTGATTCTATCTACTTAGAAACATTGACTTGAAATAACACTAGAAATTCAAAACTTATCAGAACCTGTGGTTCATCATCAAAAAGCTACTGCAGGTATTTAATTTCTTATAAGGATTTTCTTTTTCTCACACATTTTTTGAGCATGTATCTGTGTAAGGAGGATGGAAATTACTGCAGTTCCATTCTATTGATCTCCATTGAAGATACAGCCTACAGTAGTAGAGTGTTCCCACCAAGAGAAGGTCTCATTGGACTGAAAACACAGCTAACCATGATAATCATGTCAGATGAAACCTGCTTTGCACTAGGAACTACTGATGGCAAAGCAATGATTTGTCTTTCTCTACAGGACAGTTAGTTAACAACTCATCTACTTTATATGAATAAACAGTTTACTCCTCATTACACCAGTCGTTGAAAGAAGAAAATGCATCAAGAAGGATTTAATTCAATGAGAATATCATAAAAGAGTTCCAAGAAATTGGATGTGAATTGTGGATACAACATCTCGCCTCAGGCTTTCTGTTTCTTCACAGCCATTTCCACCACCCTCTTCAACAGAGTATAAAAATATTCACTGGTTTATATTGCTTACATTATTGAAAAATTAATTAACGCTGTGTGCATTTTCCCTAAATGTCCTCTGAGCATTTCTGAGTATTTTATATGGATGGGCTGCTCCAAAGCCATATAAAACATTTAATGTCAAAAGAGAAAGCAAAGACAACAGCTGTAAATCTTGATGGTTCTGTTAGAACGCTTCAGATCATACTGCTTGGAGCACTCTGACAAGTACAGAGTGTTACTGAAATTGCAAATACATCAGATTTTAAGAAGGCCAAAAGAGGCCAATGAGGCCAGTACACTGCCAGTTTTTTAGATTCAGTATAGTTCAATATCAGTGCTGATAAATATCACTGTACCCATTTTTACAAGGTTTTTGATCAAATAACAATGCAGAGAAGTGAGTTCACAATACTAGTGTGCAACAGCAAATTCACAGCCAATGTTGCAGTGCTACCACATAACAGTATGTTCCAATAGCAGTGTTTAAATAAAATTATCTTTTTTTTCTATTTTACCAGTGATGCACCTTTCTTGAATTATTCATTTTTTACATTTATACATAATTGCAGCTGGTTTCAATAGAGAACTTTTAAGAACAATGATAATTACAAGTGAAACAAAGAAAGTTAAACCATTAATAATTTATAGTAAGAAAATTCTTTTGCTCTGATGATTCTGAACAAACAGTAATGAATTTAGCCTCACAATACCCCTGTGAGGTAGGCAATCACTATCAGCCCCATTTTACAGGTGGGGAAACCAGAGCACATACAAGGGAAGTAACTTGCTCAAAGTCTGGGTACAGAATCCAGGTATCTGACAGTCATCTTCTGTTTCTTAGCCACCACATCACCCTTCCCCACTAAAAAACATAACTAAAATATGTACAAATACTGCATGTGTGCATGCACACATGTGTGACTAGCACTTGTGCCCAGAAGCACCTCTGTGTTTCTGAATACTCATGTGTCAGGATTTTAGATACATATAAAGAATAAAAAGATATTTATTCTTTATATGTATCTAAAGATTTGAGAACTAGCACTAGTGAGTCTTTTCATTTACAGATAAACCGAGACACCATGAAGGAGAAAATGGTAATAATACTTTCTCAGTTTTAAAAGAACTCATTTAAAAATTATTCTTGAGAGGAAATCAAAGGCTTCCTTTATTATCTGCTGGGTATTATTAATACAGTTATGGCAATACCAACATGTCTTTAGAAAACTGTTTTTAAGACATGACAAACCAACCTCACAGGAGCGCTGTATGAATCAAATTAATAAGCATTGGAAAAAATTATTACAGGTACTAGACTGTGCTAAGTGTTAATTAGAGTACCAAGCAGTTACATATTCTAAGTTCCAAAAGACTCCTGTGATCAGAAACACAAATCACCCTGAATTAAATGTATAAAAGTAGCTGTTAAAGCATAAATTAGTTGTGTGACCTAGTTCCAACCATGTGAGAACAACCCCAAGCTGGAGCTTCCATCCCATTCCTTGTCTGTGGAGCTGGTTTGCCACTCACCTGCCCTATACAAACAACCTATTTCAGATTTATTTCACAGGAACAAGTAAGATGGTTGCAATGTTATTTTATTCTCTGCTCCAGCTCATTTCCACTAGAAAAAGCAAGAAGAGCTGGTGAGGAGAGAAAGCCCCTGGTGCAATGATCCCAAGAGTTTCCAATTCACAGCATGTTTTGTATATGCACTTTTCTTCAAGAAACCCAGACTCAGAAACATTTAAGACCTTGGATTTCCCCAGTCTGGCACACAACAGTCAGCCAGGGCATTGCTTCTCTGTTAATAAGTTTACATGGCACTATACAACTAAATAGGCAGAAATCTTAGAACAATTTTTGTAATTATTTTCCTGAGCGGTTTGCAAGTGCTTTTCAGAATCTTCACTCTAACTTCTCCACCTAGTTCCTTACAGTAAATTTATAATCTAGATTTTCTTGTGCTTTACTCATACATCCTATGGGGGTTCATGAGAGCCTACAGTACTACACTGAGTTACTACCTCCCAGTCTGCTGCATTTGATGATAATATGCTCTATATTCACAGCTACATGGAAGAATGATTCCAATGCATACGCTGATTTTAAGACAGTTCTTTTCTATTTGACCAGCCTTCATTATTTTCTGTTTGCATTTCTGGATGATGCACTATCTGTATCCTTCTCAAACAAGGTGTTGTGCAAGCTTGTCACCAGCATCAGTATGACATTCAGTGAGTACAGAGTTATTTATTCTCTATCAAAGGCAAAAAGTGAAGAGATTATATAGGTTTCTGAGAGAAGCATCCTAATCCCAGGCAGCTGTGACACACAGGATGCCAGACATTTAAACTCACCACACAGCACTGCACTTGTTTTCCTACATGGCTAAAATAAACCACAGAGCAAAGACAAGAGGAGTGTGGATTCACTGCATCACCATTCCCTAGGCATGCAGAGGTCAAGACTAGGAAACTCTGACCCAAGTGACAAAACTGGGATTAGGAAACAAGGACCTGACTCACAAACCTTTCTGCAGGCAGCTCCTCCAGGAGCCCTTCCCCTGCTGTCCCTGCAGAAAAAGGGGCCAGTGGTGGTAGGGACTGAGAGACACCCCTGGTGATGGGAGGGGAACAGGAAGCCCCAAATCCCTTCCCATCATCCCCGTGACCCTTTGGATTGTCAAACCAACCCCAGTGGAAAAGGTCAGGTTGGGGTTTGCTCATTCCCACCAGAAAGGACAAATGCCAGGAGAAATCCCAATCAGGGATGCCCTGGGAAGGAGAAAGGAGATGGCAGCAGTACCCAGCCCTTCCCAGAGCAGAACACTGACCCACCCAGCACAGCTGCCCTTAGAGGAAGTTTTAAAAAAATAACCATACAAAGAAAACTGTGTAAAAGAGGTATTTACACTCTCTGCAAATTTAAAAAGAGACAGGCCACCAGCCTAGGGTTTAACAGGAGAAATCATCTGGCAGCTGCCATCATCCTAGAGGGGCTCGCTCAGGAGAAAATAAAAAAGAGCAACTAAAATGACTGTCTGCAAGTGAAGGCACCTGATCTGGAAATAGCATCAAGCTGGTGTTTTTCTTTCACATGTGATGGGATGGGGGGAGATACTGCTGCTGACAGTTTTTCAAGACTTGCTACACTTACAAGAGCATTATTGTATATTACAAGAAATCCTAATTAACATTTTACTTCATTTAATCCTCAGAAGGGCCTAAGCCTAAATTTGTTAGATTGTCTCACACATGTTTAAGTTAAGAGCTGGTCTCAACTAGGAGTGCATTTGTCTCTCTCTCAGTCCTTTCCCAGTACAGAAACACTTGGCCTACTAAAAAAATTGTCATTGTGATCAACCATCTTTTCTGGTCTAGTCACTTGTGTAAAAATCACCTTTTTGGGCTGAAGACTCCCAGCCTTCCACTGAATACCTCAATTAAAAATATAATTAAAAAGTTACAGTCAGTCATTCTAAAAAAAACCCATAAAGAAATAGAGCATATACAGAAAAGAAACAAGGTGGCATTGAAGGAGCCTAGGGCTACAAATTTGCTACCATAGTTTGAGTTTCAGTCGAAATGAGTTCCCAGGCCATTGAGTGAACACAAGACATGTTATCCTTTGCCCTTGGTAACTGAGGATGGATGCTTTTTTCCACAGGACTGATAAGAAACCTCCTCTCCATCAGCATTTACAGCCATGTTTGCAATTTTGGGACATCACCAGGGAAAAATAAAACGGTAGAGTGAAGAGTCTTTCGGTTTTTGTGTTCAGCTGCAAATATCAGCTAACCAGGTAACTGTGCATCTCTCTGGAGTTGATGCTCAAAACCACGCCTGAGTGATTGCCTAGGGAAATACAGAAACAAAAGGCCAACATTAGTGCACTTCAGGTACTCCACAATAAATCCCCCTTTTATTGCAGAGACAAGTAAATTGCATAAGAGAGTGTCTTATCAAACAACAGGTCAGGTGAAGGTTGGTGCAACGGCTCCATGTACCTACAGCACACTTTTGCACTAAGCTTTTGCTCATGGTGGTGGATTTGTGGTGAATTCCTAGGGTTTCTATCCAAGTGACAGCATAAGTTGGTTCTCTTTGTGGCTTATAAAGGTGTAGTTGTCTCGAGGGGTGCAGGTGAGGGAGGAGAATGGAACCTGAGGCGTCCATTCGACATGCCACTGACCTGGGACTGGACACTGACCGGCATCAGCAATAAGGGAACTCTGTAGCTGTTCAAGTTGCCACCTCTCCCAGAAGGAGTCACTGCAAGGTAATGGTGTTGAGGAGTCCCAAGGTGGGGGTTGCGATAAAGTAGGCAACATAAAATATATAGAAAACAAAAAAAGTGGATGGGTGAGTCTGGAAATACTGTACTGTGGAAATTCAAAAGTTATGAGAAGAGAGAGAACAAACAGAAACCCAGGCCTGTAACTCCCTGCTGTGCATGGACATCTCCCAAGAGGGAGGGAGAAAGCTCACCAGAGCTAGGAGGGATCTCCATAGCATAGGAACCTTCTGCAAATAATGTAGTAAACCAGAATTTAATATAAAGCAGGGATTATAACAGGTTTCATAGTCTAAACCAGATAAAATAGAGTATCATTAACAGGAATATTTTCTTGGCAGTACTGAGCAATACCGGAGCTAGTGGAAAGTATTGCAAATAACAAAACAGTAGAGCGAGCAGGAGTGTAGTTTTATGTATTAAATAACATCTTCTGTCTAAAGGCTGTACAGTAGCTGACAAATACAAATGATTATGATCCACAAAAATGAGCTTTTTACACTCTCCTGGAAAGTCTGCTGCTGCAGACAACGTGGCTGAAGCACAAATCACCTCAAAATCACATTCACATTCTTATGTCATCAAAACATCATATCTTGTACTCTTCAACCCAAAAATAATGCTCTGCTCAGATGGAAGATTTTTGTTTCCTCTGAGTAACAAGTGCAGGGCAAGCAGAGATTAATTCTAAAAGTGTTACAAATCAGGGTAGCATTTCTTTATTAGAGCATCCCAAGCTGCCTTCTTTTAAATAAGCCATGAGGGATTTTCTACCATTAAAAGAAGTTATGCTTTTGTACTAGAGGTGTTTGAATGCTCCACTTTAATAGGCATGTCTGCAAGGACCTTGTTAGCATTCAGCTTCTTCTCTAAAGGCCCTGGAGGCGAGATGACCAAACAAATTTAACTTAGACTTTGTTTTTCCAGGTTTGTTTTTGGAACTAACTCCGGTAAAGTCAGGGGAGCAACAAAGGTCATCTTGCAAAATTAGAATGAAAGCAGTGATACTCATACACAAGGTTGTCAGAGAAGAGATAGAAATACACAAAGCAAAGCAAGAGGCTGGATTCTTCCCTTGTGTTCAAAGCTAACACCTCCAAGAACCTAGAAGCACACACAGTTCTGCAAATGAAAATAAAGACATGGACAACAAACAGAAAAGGTGAAACCCAAAATAAAGAAATTTCTCGTCAGCCCAGGTTCTGTCTTGCCCAGGCTACCTCGGGTGCAGCTAAAACACATCTTCTTCCTTGGGGTTCACAAAGACATTATAATTGCCTTTCACACCATCAATCTACTGCTATAAATCCCAAGAGCTTTGGATTATCTGATTTATTTTCACAAATTTCCAGAAATGGAACTGGGTGTTGTTTACATTGTCCTACAATTTTCAGACTGTGACCTGAAAGCAGTCTGAAGACAATGTATTATAGATCAGAACTCCATGTTGCATTAAAACTAACCACAGGGTGCCAGGATATACACTTCCACCTGACACTGAAATCATTTGCACTGAGGTACTCACAGAAAGTTTCCCTCATGGGTTCTTTATAACCACCTCATCAATACTAGAAAATCAACAGCTAAATTAAGGAAGACTTATGATACTTTTAATACATGAATAAATTTAATGTTTCTAATAACAAAAAATTTAAATGCCATTGGAATATGAAGGCAAATAAAGCAATGGATCTCCATACAATCCATCTGAAATCACAGAAGCATTGACTCTACAAATCCTTCTGGCCTGAACTCAATTTTCCACTAATTCAGAGGATTACTGAGTGAATTCAACTCTTGCAGATTATATCCCATTCCACCAAATAAAATTTATCTCTAAAATTGTCTAAGTCAGTCTCCTGACATTAAACTCCTATGTCTGTACTCATGCTCTATATAGCACATCATCCATACATTAGCCTGTATCTCAAGCAAGCCAAAAGGTGATTGAGATAATCCCTTGTTACTGGTGTTAACATTTGCATCTTTTTGAGACTGAAAACAAAAAAGAATTAAAATGAAAACAAACATAAATTTAAAATCAACTACTTATGAAAATTTATAAGCTAAAAACGAAGTTACCTCTTGCGTTACCTAGTGTTTGAGAGTCCAGATCATCATCAATAAACTCCTCACCCTGGATGATGTTCTGGGTGTCCTCACTGTGATTAACAGGGCTTGTCATCTCCTGCTCTTTTTCATTGTGCATCTGGGCGTAGACATTTCTGCCTGGCAGTTTCCTAAATGGTACAAGAAGAAAAAAATTTTGGGATGGAATTTTTTGTGCCGCACACACATTGGCATCAGAGCAGAGCTCCAGCAGGGCAAAGCTGTTCCAAAACAAAAAATCATCACCAATCCCATCCTTCCTTAATTTTGTGATTATAACCTAAACTTACCAACTCTTTGTTCTCTGTCACAGTTTTATATAACTGCCTTTTCAGGATCTTCAGACTAACATAATATTTAAGCATCCATTTCTAAGATTAACAGACAATAAGCAATGTTGAAAAAAAATTACTAAAGCCACAGAAAACCTATTTTAAGAATTCAGGCAATGAAAGGGCCCAGTGGGTGTTCATTCTTGGTCCCAGGTGTCTTCATATACATTAAGCTGGGCTGCAATCATCTTCACATCTCCCTGGGCATGTGGGCTGACACTGGTGTGATAGCATCAGCTGGCACTCATAATCAATCAGGGACAGGGAGAAAAAGTCAGGAGAAGTCCAGGAAACAGGGAATGGAAAGGAGCAGACTGAAGAGCCAGGAGGCCAAGACCAAGGGGGAAGGAGTAAGAACATAAACAGGCATCAATAAGAGCACAAGACAGGGGAGGCTGCTTAAGTTTAGCAGGCAGCACTGAAGGAGACAGAGTATAAAGTTTGGACTGGGAACTGATGAATTAGACAAACTCCCCAAGAGACAATAATTCACTCACTCTGACTGGAATCTAGAGAAACAAAAATCATCTTATTAAATTATCACCCTGGCTGAGACTGAGAGGCTTAAGACTTAATAAAGATAAGGGGTTCTTAACTAGATTAATTTAAATTAGACTTTGTCAACTCAAAGGGAAAAATCAGGGACTGCTAGCTTTGCAACAGATTTTATGGTTTAAACATTCCTCAAGAGCCATGCCCTTTGTGCTGTAGCTGTGCTCACCTGCAGTCTGCCTAGGCACATGAGGACATCCTTTCCCAAGCACCAAGCAGACACTTCAGATTAGGGAGCTGCAGGCTCTAAGCTCCATTTCCTACAGTGCCAGAAGCTGCTTGACAGCTTGAGCAGCATGACAGCAGATCATGGCTGTCAAAGTCTGTGCTTAAAGCCAGATTATTACAGTGGGCAGAAAAGAAAAACAACGAGAAGGAAAGAAAAAAACAGGGTTGAACAGCTGTGGTTTCTGTTGAGCCCCTTTAGACAGTGAGAGAATAGAAAAAGTGACACTAATTTTTAGGCATCTCTCTAAAAGCAACCCTCTCCTGCTCCGTATTACAGTGGCAGTTTAAAAGCTGGATAAATATACAAATTATTCTATTTTCTCTAGGCTTTTGAAGAAGATCTGTTTGAAATGCCATTTCACAAGAAGGTGTCTTTAGCAAGGGGCACCATTTTAATTTGAGATAAAAAAAAGTAACTGCAACAAACTATTCTGAAAAACAACTTCCATTGCATCAAAGTAATGAAAATAAATGGCATTTACTAAAAAATTAAAGATGACTGAAGATAATCTCCTTCCTTTAATCTGAGCAATCCAAAAGATAAATTGAGTCCTATATATCTAGACAAACACACATATCTGTATAGGTATGTGTATACATACACACACACACACACTCACAGAGTTATATCTCTAAATAAAAAATGGTATTTTATCCCATTATTTATAAGCAGTACAAAACCAAAGGAAAAGGAGAAGGATGGAAAGAAGGTCTGATGACAAAATGCTGTGTTATTATGATACTTCAACAGGTCTGAGTGCTCCTCCAACAAAAACATACACATAAAGCCAAGCCCTGCATCACTCTCCTTTCATTATATGGATTTTAAAAAAAGCAATTTTGCAAGAGGGAAGGACATTCCTCATAACCAAAACAAATACATTAGGTAATTAATTGTGATTTTTTTTTCTCTAGGGCCAGTAACTCCAGACTGTTTTTAATGTGTCTGGTAATGAAACTGGTCATGTGGAAAACTATTCTCTCAATCAGACCTGCATCAAACCTGTCAAACTGCTCACTTTCAGTCCACCATCAAAAGCCTAAGGGAGATAAAACCCAGAAGAATGTCTCTGTAACACATCTGCAGAATTAGCACATATGTTTCTACAATAATTATAATAACCTCCTCTGAACTATTTCTGACAGATTGGAGAAGCATCAATGGCATTATCAAAACATTTTTGACATAATAAAAATGTTAAATGTCTCAAAGCCATATGGCACATCAGACCTTTGCAGTTAAGTAAAGGGAGAAGAGCTGCTAGTGTGACTATTGCCTATGAAACCAGGGTAACTAAGTGTGTTCTTTGGTGTAAATCCTGAGGCTTCAACTCACAGTTCCTGCATGGCTTGCTAGTTAGACATACCATGAGCAGAACACATACTAGTAAAGATGTTCAGGAAAAATGAAGAAACCTCTCAAATTCACAACCAACCATTAAATGTATTGTTGCTAAGACCATTTCCTTATGGTTTAGGAATAAAAGGAGAAAGAAATAATTGTGAGCTGTTATTTCTCACTCGCCTTATCCTGCCCAATTCTGCTAAGTGCAGATCCTTTGGGGAAGGTATAAAGCTGAGGTACTCAGTACTCCCACACTTTCCTTTGCTTCTCACACTTACATGGAAAAGACTAACATTGAATGGATTGGAGGGAGGAGAATATCACAGGCCTTGAGAAGACATGCACTGGAGGCATTAGACCTTTGCCACACTACAGGGATCTGCCTGTGTTTCACAGTGGTTCAGCTTTACAGGAACACACTCAACCACACTGAAGGAAATGATAGTCCATGTGGTATTCACATACCCTCTGAACAGAGAGAAGCTGTGAGACAAGCAGAGAAGAAGGAAAACACAATTCTTATTTCGCTTGCTTTGCCTGTGTTGTGCTAAAGTAGAATGCAATATGGAGATTGTTTACCCAAAGTGAGGATGTTTTGTTCCCTGGCCTATCAGGGCCAAGAAGTGTGTGTGGGTCAGACTGTCATGGGACAGTCAGGAGAGAATCAGAGATGATGAGTGCAGCTCTGTGCAGCTGTGAGCAAGAGTGAGGGCATGGCAGATTCAGTATGGATACAATGTACATAGTATAGTATAATAAAGTAATTCTTTAGCCTTCTGATGATGGAGTCAGACACATCATTCTCTCTCCCCTTTGTCAGAGTCGCCTTTGATTTACACTAAGTCCAAGCCTTTTCAAGAGGCATTTTTAACACATGTGCTGGATATTCTGTTTATGGGGGATGACCACACTGTGGGATGAAATAGGATGTGGATACTGGAGCCTCGCTAAAGATGGGCCTGATTCTGGCAAATTTTCTGGCTTGAACATGCAGGAAGGAGGCTGCCACCACCCCTACTCACACAGAATAAAACTCTAGTGTACCCTGATGTGCTTTGCTCTTCTTCAAGAAGCAGCTAATTTTGAGTCCAATGTAACTGTTTGAAGCAGGCAGAGCTGAAATTTTTGGGTCTACACAAAAGACTACTGTGAAAACATGACAAGACACGAAATTTGACCCAAGAGATTTGTATCAGCAAAATGAAAATTGAAAGCACATTTAGAAGAACAGACAAGAAGATTATGCAATAGCTTCTTTGGGGGTTTAACTCATCTGCAAAATGCATGTGCTTCACATCCATCACTGGAGACAATTACCTCTTCCGAGCAGCACTCCATGGTTTACATTTTTAGTTCCTTTTGTTTTTCCTGTAGCATTTTATTTCAATCATGAAAAAGAAGAAATATTATGCCTGCTTTGAGGACCATAAAAATACGAGCTAGAGATGTAATTCTGCACACCACTACTAAAGAACATCACAGCGCTTGATTTCACCAAGCTCTCCAGGTCCCACACCTTTTAGAAGCTATTCCAGGAAGTACTTTGTTTTCCTTCCTTTATTCAGAAAATCTAATCAATTCATACCCCAAACTGTTAGCACTTAGAAATGTTCAGCAGGAAGGAACAGCAGGAGGGGGACGTGATATTGATTCCTACTCATTTAAGCTCTAGTTTATTTGGCTTCAATTCCTTCTTTGTGGAAAAAAATTATCCATTCGCCTTTATGAAACTTCACTTATTTTCCAGAGGCTTGATTAAAATTCAGTTTACTATAAAAAATTTGAACATATTCACATGGCAAAGAGTATGGAATAATGTAGCATTTTCTTGGAACTTAAATAAAAATAACAAAAATAATAATCCATTAAATAGAATACTTTATTGTGGTGTTGACTTTATTATGTTTGGATAAATGTTCAGATGACTGATTTCTTTGTGCTTTAAGGCACTCCTGATATACTTGCCTCTTTCATTTCTGAAATCTTTTCTGCATGCTATTACTTTGATTTCCGAGGATGTTTTTACAAAATATTATGGAACATTAAATTAGTGCCTGGTTTTTTTATCACTAAAAGGCATGGATTGGGACTAAGCTTGCTCTCATGGAACATAAAAGTAGTATAAGCAAGGTGGGGAAAAAAGATAGCTTTTCTTCAGAGACTGAAAATGAGATAGTAAGTCAATGAGGCAGAAAGATAACACAGTTCTGCTCCAGATTGTGGAAATGACCCAAGAGGGGGTTCATTTACCAAAATTGGTACTTGATAGTAGCAGGCAAAAAAGGAATACACACAAAATGGGATAAATCTGGGTGAAGACGATTCATGGTGATTTGTGAAAACAATGCATGCAGCTTTAAGTAGTAAAGCAGTTTGCAGTAGTTTGCATACAAATTAAAAGGTGAAGATTTTCATACTCTTTCAGAGAATTGAATTTGCTGCAATTAGCCAGGTAAAATATATAAGCACAACAGCCAGCCATTTGCTCTGGTTTGGCTACTCTAATATCCTGCTATTGTACAGAAATGAAAAATAAGAAAATGATGATTTCAGATCTTCTGCTAGTAGCATGATGATTACATAGCAGCTTTGATGTGGCTAAAATATAATTTTCCTTTCCTCCACTTTGCCTGGTGCAGACAGTGCTATTTCCCTTCTCTATACTGTTGCCCAGGATCCCACACCATAAAGCTTCTTCTGAGAGGATGAAGAAATCTTTTCTGGATGGCAGCATGAAAACCACAAAAATTACAAACATTGTTTCAAAGGGAATGGAAGAAATGTGTTTTTACTGAACCAAATCTAGTAAAGATGGCATGGTATAAAAAAAACATACGCAGATCCCAGATCCACATTAAGAAACAGCCCTGGATTTTTCAAATGATTTCCCAGCTGCTTCATATTGTTGTGGGCAAAATAAGCAGCTGCAGTCCATTTTACCTGCATGCTTAAACAGCTGGAGCACACTAGTGAGTATTCCAACATGTTGTTTGCTTGAGGCACCCACTCTGTGGTGCTTTCCTTTTCAGGAGGTGAGAGCAGAGCAGGGCAGGGCAGAGACGCTTCACTTGTGTCTTGCCCACACCCACAGCTGCTCTCAGCTCTGCTCCTCCTGCACAGGCAAGGTTGGTTCACCTGCAAGGAATGACCCCTTGCTCCTTGCTGCCATGCTCAAAATCCTATCTAAACCAATAGCTCAGATAAACCAAACAGCCCATTTGTTCAGCACCATTACAATTAGTTTTTAAAAACCCATCGCATTTATCATTTAAAATTTACTTGCCCTATACGGAGTAAAAATAGCCCTAATCTGAAGTCCTTATCTACTCTGATGGCAAAGGAGCAAACCTCTGTGTTTCTCAAAACATTTTGGATTCTTCCTTTTTTTCTTTCCTTTGTTTAAAGAAATGAACCATTCTTGGGATTGCCACAAGTCACTTCCTGAGCTCTGGGGACTCCATCACCAGTTTTTCTGGACGTGGCTGGATGCACAAAGAAACCATCAGATAAAGTGGGGAGTGCGTGAATTTCAGGAATGGGGACATGAAAGGATAAACACTTGCAATTTTACAGCATGTGAAAACAGAGGGCAGCAGTCTTCCTAGTCAATGCCTAAGTATTTGGGATTAGGGCATATAAGATGTGACCTACAGTCATCCAATCATTAGCTAGACAGCCATAACAGCTCTGGTTATCCAGCAGATCATAAAATTACAGACTTCAGAAATGATTTGGGCAGGTGACCATGCTTGGGGACAAGATGTTTCAGCACTCAGAATCCATGGGGCAATTTGGCCATGTTTTGCCATTTTCTATCAAAGCTGTAGGTCTACACAAAAGCCTATTTTCTCTCCTTTTTTCATCACAAGTCTGAACTCTGTCACTGCAAGTAGATGACACGCTCTCATGTATGAAGCTGTAACCTCCCTGCCAATCCAGTTACCATCTTATTTTGCAAGCCAGTTTTTCCATCTTGCATCTTTGCAGGTATCAAACTTAACTTTGAGCCAGCAAAGAGAGAGAAAGCAGCCCAAGACATGTTCATGCAGTCTCCTGCTAACCACCTGCTTTGCATGTGCTCCAAGGCTAGCTGCAGGTCCTCTAGACCCATTCAGTGTAGTGATAAAACTAGGTTCAAAAAAAACTTCACTGAGATAGGGAAAAAGGAGTTTTAACCCTTGTATTAATCTTCATGAATGAAGGGAAGGTACCACCAAATGTCTTCCATCTCCTCCTTAGGTTTGTAAATCATACATCATAATTATGGACAGTATTATCATTTCAACACTTTACACATCTGTAATTTCTCTGTTGAATTAAATAATATTTCTATTTCCCCAAGTTATCCAAGTTACCATAGGCCACAGTAATTCTGAAATTATCACTTAAAATTGAACATTTTTTATTGCCTATGGCATTCTTTCAGCAAATTAATTTTTAATACCCAGGCATATAATAGTGAAAAGTCTCCTTAATGTATTATAACTTGCAACTTTTATATCTATAAAGGACACTCATTTCATAGCCTCAGTCCCTGTGGACCAGTTTGTAAACTTACACACTCACTGTACTGACTTTAAAGGGACTGTACTCCCAACAAGCACTCCATGAGGATCCAGCAGTGCACCAACCATCTCCATCAACACAGGAAAGACTTTTTAAAAAGGATTCAAGATTTTGGTGGGACAGGAGTTCATGGGGAGCCCATGAGGAAAAAGCAATTTTTGAAACATAGCACTGATTAGGTGCTTAATATTGTTTGAAGAAGAAATTGCAAAGGAAGCATGCAACCAAAAAATTGTCAATTTTGAAAAGCTTAGCAGTATTACTTAAAAAGGATTCTTTCAAATATCTCAGAAACAGATAAGATACAGACTAAAATTGAAAACTACTGCATGGCCATTCATCAATGCCAACAGCAGTTTTCAGGCTACTGACAAACTTTTGAATATATCTCACAATAGTCCTCACTTGCATCTAAGTAACCCCCAGCCCCCAAATGTAAATGCAAATGATTTTCATGAATTATATACAGAAGTGCAAGAGACATTCAAGCTCACAATTTGGAAATTGTACTGTATTTTCCTCCTTAATAAAAGCTCTACTTATAAAGCAATGGTTCATAGAGCATTTTAGAAAGAACTCAAGGAAAAATATGTTTCTATTCCTTTCTTGAATATTTTATACTTCTTCTACCATGCAGTAATTGTGACTGCTATTTAATTGCTCTCATTTAAGAGCTAATAAAAGATATAAATCCGATAGCCTTTAAAAGATATCACAAGGAAATTTTATGATCGAAACACAAACAGAAAATCCTCCATTGTATTGCTATTGAAATAATATAATTACATCACATCAACCATTTTTATGTTTTTTCCTTGCTTCAGGCACCTAAAGGACCAAAATGGATTTTTATTTCATTTTAGACAGGCTGATTCAGTATTCTGTGCTTTGTCCTTTAAAGCAATCAGTCACTATGAACTCTAAAAAACTCAGGTTCTTGAAGAAAAATGGGTTTTTCTCTATTGACATAAAAATCCTTTAGCTAAAAAAACTCTTACTTAATGCTAGTTTCATTTACTGCTGTCACAAACTTAATGCTGATAGCAGTTCTATAAACTTGTATTTATTTTAAATAAAAATCACCCCCTAAAAAATGAGGCAAATCAGTATGAATCCTCACTGACATGAGATGATGATGATGATGATGAAGGCTTGTGTCCAGTATGCTTAAACCCAACAGCTTCTGAATGCCCCAGAGATACAGAAATACCAGTAGGATAGACAATGCTAACACTGTCCATGAACAAGAACAAATTATTTAAATTGCACAGCAGCTCAGATTAAAATTAATTGCAGACTAAAGAAAAATCAGACTGTCCAAGGCTGGCATTGCTCAGTTTTGAGAATATCCTTCACAGAAGAAATATTTCCTGCAGAAATATTTCTTCCTTCCACACACTTTAGTGCCAAGTTAACGCTAATTTCTTTCTGTCAGTCATTTTCCATGGCATTGCCTCAGCAATTAAAATGTAATGTGTGCAAAGAGAAGCCCCAGAGCATTACATGCTTTGATAAAACTACTTTTTTAAGCAAATCAGCATTGCAGATGCAATCCCTGTCCCAATAGTTTTAGCTTATTCATAACTGTTAGGAGTAATGAAAAGGGAATTAATCAGGAATGATATTTTAGTTCAGCTATGATTCTTGATGGTATTATTTAGACAAACTGAACAAACTCTCCATAGTTCCTATATTGTTGATATTTATCTTGGATCACAGCAAGTGAAACAAGCAACAGTTCAGTACCTTGATGTCTGAAAAGATCAGAAAAATATGGCTTTTCAAAGTGGTGCACTTCTTGCAATTCTTCAATAAATCTTCTTTACAAATGACAAACTCTGTCTTGCTAATCTATGGATAAATCTAATTATTAAAATGCATCTATTGATTAAGGTTTACTTGCCTTTTGAACTTGTAGAGGATGAAAGCCCCAACTGCAACTAGACAAACAACAAAGAGAACCACAATAGCCCAGTAGCCACCGCCTCCTCCAATTGTCTGAGAGTCTGAAACACAAAATAAAAGAACAGTTTTGCATGTCCCCTTCCACATCATTCACATTCTTGAGCATTCTTTTCTATTTAATTGTCAGGTCAAAAACATTGGTTGTTGTTTTTGCAACCTCTTCTTTTCACTCCATCTGGCTTCTTCAGAAAGGCAAAACCACAGAATTAGTTGGTGACTTGTTACTGAAGAACAGAGGACCCATTCAAAAAATAGAAAGCAACAAACAGCAAAACACAAGATCCTGAAGATTTAATTATTTGCGTACTCAGTGGTTGTTAGGGTTTTTTTCAGAGAATCTAAAGTTATCATAGTAAATGATCACACACCCTAAGTATTTGCTTTGAAAAAGCAGGGCTGCATTAATTTCACAGATGGAGAAACTAAGGCTCTGAACAAGAAATGAACTCGTCAAGGTCATGCATTGGTAAAGGCTGGAATGAACATGGACTTCTTTCAATCCCTTTTGTGCTGGCAAACAAATGTCAACCCTTTACACCAGACAAGGTACCACAGTGAGACTGTAGCACAAGTCTACACTAGAAACTAGATAAAAGAGCTTTGTTTTCTACAGAGAGATGACAGATAAAATATCACACCATAATTTACAAAAATTGAGAGTGGCTGGCTAAAGCTGTTCTCCCACAACACACTGAAATTAATAAAGAAGGATGAATAATGGAGACCCTAAAGCAACCTTCCCATTAGTTGATCAGAAGATCAGAGATACATGGCAGAGATGCAGCAGGCCTTGTGTTAGACCCATGTAGTCACAGCAGCAGAGGTAATGGCTGATATAAAGGCAAAGAAATTCTGCTTTCTTAGCAGCCAGGGCAACCTAAAGTGCCTTTGATCACCAGAGGAGTTTTTGAAGCCTAGTTGGCTCTTCCTTCAGAGCACTGTTCTGTACAATGGAGGAATTTACTTTATGTTGTGGTTACTCAGAAAAAGCAAGAAGCACGTGATACAAATCGTGAAGTATGAATGGAAAGGGAAACATAAAAAAAAATTATTTGGTTGTGATTGTTAATAATGGCCAAATGAAAATGTGTGTATATATATACATATATAAAAATAACCGTATATAAACATATATATATAAATATATAAAAACATATATTAAAACATAAATATATAAATAAACATATATATAAATCATATATGCATATATGTTTATTTATATGTAACAAGTACCAAGTAAATATATACATATGTGTTATATGTACACATACATATTGATATAAAGATTTTTTCCCCTTAAATTATTAGAACTTGAACAGGCATCCAAAAGTTGGTCTATTGATAGCTTTTTTTATATATTTACCTGAACTGGAGTCAGCTAAAGTCACTAAGACCCAGTATCCTCCCCTCAGAAAGAAACTGATGTTGTGTGCATTCAGGGCCTGCTTTATAGCTGCTATTCTCTGAAAATACAACAGAGAGAATGTCAGATGTCTTGTGCTCTGTTCCACTTTGAGACACTCAATGTTTTAAAAAGGAAAACTTCTGGTTCTTTAAATGGTGAAAGCACTTGTCAATGACGAGCTGAAATCTAAAAGAAATTCAATATTTAAAAATCAAGCAAAACTCCAGAAGACATAAAAGCTGAAAACATCTCAATTTTATAGCCAAATCTTTCTTTTTGATTACCCAAGTCTTTACATTTACCCAGTATGAGGCAGACAGCAAGTAATTTGCACGTGCTATTGGGTTTACCTGGGTCATAACTCACACAATGCATAATCCATATTAAAAGCCCCCATTCTTCTAACTTATCAGAAGAAAACCTGTGATGTCACTTTGGATTTTTTGTCATGAAAATTAACTACTATTTAATAATGAACTGCATGTCATAATTTACCTTACCTCCTTACCTATAAGGGAATGAATTCCATTTATAGCTAATTTTTAACAATACTCCATAGAAATAGATATATTCATTCATGTGGAAAAAAAAAATCAGTATTCCTCCCATTTTCCTCCAGTGGATAGAGCAAAGTGAAATACGGTCTTTCATATTTTTATGGAGCAGAACCATTAAATATACCCTCACATCCTAACCCTGGATGACAAATTGTCTGAATTATACTTTCTACTTGCTTGTGTCTTCAACATGGTCAATTTTCTAAAAGATCAAAGCTAGTTTTATACTCTATACCTTATAATTTGGGACACGACTTCCCAGAGGATGCCAAATTAGAAATTTGCTTTATGTCCATGAAACCTTCACAAGTAACTCCTTTTACGATATTATCAATTATGGTGCTCATCTTTGACAAGCTTTTGAAGTATAATGGATAAAAATTCCTGTAGTCCCTCTCATATTATGGACAGACACTATACAAAAGTTCAAACATCGTCATTCTTTTTGAGGAATATCTAACTTCTGAAGCTATTCCACTGACTTTATTAATTTTTTTTTATGTGGGAATGACTCAACGTAATGGTGAAGTGAGCATGGCTTCAGTTATTTCACAAGACAATTACAGCAGATAGCTCCTAAGTATTTACCTTGTTGCCTAAAGCCTGAAAAGAAAATGGATATGAAATCTTCACTTAGGAGTTAGGAGTAACTCCTCCTTAGGATTAGGAAGCTTTAAAGTGATGCTGCTATCAATGAATAAAATTTCTTTGTATCAATCCAGGGTCATTCATGAGTTCATGGTGTACAGTGCCAGAGAGACAACTACTTTAGGTTAATCCGACTTACAGCCACCAAATGAAATTTATGAGCTCCATAACTTTTGATTCTTCATACTTTCCTGGCAGGTTCGTAAGGAACCCAACATTTGGTGTGGTTTTTGCTTAAGTGATTAAGACTTGTTTCTTATTTAACTCCCCACTGCTGGATTTGAACCCAAGTGTAAATGAACATGTCCTCAGGTCCTCAAGTCAAAAATTTGAATCTCATGTGAATCCAACCAAAGGTTCTGGCTTACTTATTTCACTGAAAGACTAATGTTTTTTTCAGTGCTCATGGGGTTTTTTCCTGCCCCAAGATATTTACTGAGCTCCTCTCTAGACTTCTTAAGTGTAAGGTTCGTATACCAGCATTTGAATTTTCCATCTTCTTTTTTTACATCCTTTACGATGACAATGTTTGAATATGTCAATGGCTCCTGCATTATAAGAATGTAAAAGAATGAAAAATAATGACACTGTTCAAACTCTTACCCACTTCTACATCTTGGGTTCTGACTTTCCCTTTTTGCCAAAGCAACTCACTGGGAATTTTCATGAAGTAGTTTGTCTGGATAGAAATCTTCCTCAGACCCCTGCCTTCCAGATTATAGTTTAATTACATTTTAATTGACTCTTTCAACTGGACTCATCCCACCTGACATTAGACATGCAGTAGATGTGCATAAATTAAGCAACCAAGTCTTCTCTGGAGTCAATAATTAGAATGGAATACTTTTGAAAATTCTCTGTTCTTGAAAGCAGGTTAAATCACAGCTTTTGTTTCTCCCTGCATATATTTGAAACAAAAAGGGGTCTTGTCAGAGTGGAATAAAATTTCAGAATTTCCAAAGGGCTCCTCCTACTGCACTGACAGCTTTCTTACCATCTTTGTTATTGATGGCTACTTTTATCAGTAATGATTCATATTCTACATGACTAACCTAATATACAGCATCACATCCCAACACTCCATGTAAAGCACCAATAAAAACTCCAGCAAGCAGCTGTTCCTTGCCTGAGCAAGAAATTATTGCCTTTAATCTTTCTGAAATAATGTAATATTCCCAAATCTAAAAGGTTTTCAGCCAAGAACAAAGAGGTTCTCTTTAAGAAAAGACATTTTATAACTATGTCTAAGTTAAAGGTATCAGGGACACCTCCTCGACATGTGCAGAAAACATTCTGCATTGCTGAATCCTCACAAAAGTGTCACAACTCTGACTTTGAGAACTGGCATGAGCAGTGTGACAAAGCACATCTTTTCACTGATTCATGATACAAATCTTCAAGATTCTCTTCTAGTAACAGAAGGGATTGTAAGGAATCTTTAAACATATGACAACATGAGTATTTTCCTGCTGACTTACCAGAAGCTATTGCTTCTAAGTTTATTTATTTAGGATATATTTTCAGGATATTTCTCAAGTCACAATTGATTCTGATATAACACCTTTTATCAAAATTCCTGCCATTCAAGTCTAAAGCAACAAATTTATATGCACACATCAATAGCTAAAACAATGTCTATTAGCAATAATATAAAACCAGAAATGCAGGCAGCTGTCACAAGAAGACTGGCTGTACATCTCTACAGCACTCTACTCTACAAAACAGTCAGTGTTGAGATGTGAGACTGCTGCACCTGACTTATCATCACAGCACAGCAAAGGCTGCTGTAATTGCTCTGTCTCCCTTGTTCCTGCTCCAGCCATGGGTCTGACCTGGTTCATCCTAACAATGTCAGAAATGTACACATATTCTCCAGATTATATAACTATTTCCCCTTCCCCTGCTCCTCTAGTTCCAGAAAACCTTTGCAAGGTCTTACTGGAGAGCTAATTACAAAACTGTGTCCTGCTACACTACTGGGACATCCTACAGCCCCACTGAATGGAAGCTTTTCCAAATAATTTGCAGCCTGGGATTGCTCCTCTTTATGCTTTAAAGTAACTCACATGATGTTTCATACACAAACATGGGAACAACCTTGAGACAGCATTGATTTTAACTGATACTCTTTAAGCTGCCTTGAAGCACAGCACTAATATTGAAATTGAGATTTAAAGGGAACTAATATGCATAACGCTTTGCACTGAAGTAAAATGTTTGTACAACCAAAAGAATCTATCACCATTAGTTTCCCTAAATTATTGAACATATCCATTCCCCACAGGCTCAGAATAAGGAATTTCCTTTAGAAACTTCACCTTGCTTCCTCAAGAAATGTAAATTTTCAAATAATTTCAAAGTGGTAATATTCCCCTGGCTGAGAGCCTCAGTTCATGAATGTGTCTCTACAAAAGAAACAACCTGCAAAAATTAACTAATCCCTGACACATAATCAGGAATTCAGACTCCCAGGAATTCTCACTGTGATTACCAGGGAGAACAGTAAGGGTGTCTGCCAAAAAAGTAGAAAGCTTTGTGCACTCACACATTTTAATGATAGACACCTGTTAAAGTGGTTGGACAACTTCAACATACTCCTTTGGACCTTCCAAAGTATATCTCATGAACTCCAAACACAATCTATTTGGTTTATGTTAATATGAAGAGCTTTGTCTTGCCTACTTCCCCAGCTCTTCAGAGACCGTGACCTTGTCTTAGAAAGCTTTAAAATGCCCCTCAAAGTTAAGGATACCTTACACTGATTCTTTGTAACTGGCAGGACATGAACTGCAAGGTACAGGCACAGGATCTGTTTCTTCTCTATCACAGCAAAAGGACAAATACAATAAATTGTAAGTGTCAAACAGTCTTCTGGTTTTCAACTGGCATGAAGTCTTTTACTATGGAGGAAACATTGTTTGGAAACAACTAGGGAGAAACTAATGTCTGATTTTTAATCCTGTGTTCACTAAATTTGTTTTGTACCAATTCACAACGACATTTTCTTACAAGGGCAGAAAATACTTGCTTGATGCTCTTTACATTATGGGTCAATGACTAAGGTTCTGGCTTTGTTTGGACCTGAAATCTAATTTCCTTCTGAAGACAGTGCAGAGACTTTGCTCTACTGGATCTTCACAGAATGACAAGCATCACTGCTGTTTCTGTTTAAAAGACAGGCCAATATTAAATACTCTTGAGAAACACACTAATACCAGAAAGAAGTAGATTGTGCTGGTCTGGACACTGTCAAACACAGCAGACATAGCTGCTGTAGCATTCACATGTATCTGTCAGATGGGAGCGAGATCTTTACATAGGCAGGATCACCTCTTAATTTCATATAAAGGCAATGAGAGTACAGCCACTTATTGCAAAACAGGATGAAGGCTGTCCTAGGCAGATGTGCATTGCTCTGGTTACCTTATCACTTGTTATGCTTCTCTTCTTTTTTGGTTGATTTGCAGGTAGTAGCACATGCAAGTCAGCAGCTGTGGGCAGACCAGGTTTCACAACTGTCATGAGTGTTTCTTCAGGTATACTGGTCTCCTGTGAAGACAATGAAGACACACTCTGTGTTTTATATAAAATACATAAGTAACTCCACATATGGCTTTTAGACTTCATTGTTCAGATCCTTAATATCTAAAGGGAATTCCACTAGAAGCTGAAATATGAACAAAGCCAAACATAAATGTACTGAAATGTGAGTTGCTCTTTGAATATTGGAAGACCTAAGTGTTGTTATCGCATTAAAGTAATTCAGTGGCATCAAGAAAAGAAGCAAAATGAGGAGGTTTTCAGGTTTTATCAAAACTCTGCAATGGCTTTGTGGGCAATTCAGACACAGTGTAGACTTAGAAGTGCATATTCATTACAGCTAACTTTAGCTTCTGAAGGTTGCTTAGGAGGGTGCTTAATGGACAGAGAGAAGTCCTTCAATGTGAGACTAAGAACACTCAGGTTCAGCTTCTGAAATTGTAATGAATACCTTCATTCCCCTGCTGAAAGTCAAGTGCACCTCTTTGTAAAACAGTTTGTGCAAATTTGGCATTTAGTCCAAAATTTCTCCATGTTTGTACAATGCAGCCACACAATTTTAGTGACCATACCCTGGGCACTTTCCTTGGTCTTCCTCAAACAGATTCTGAGAATCTATTAAATTGTTCATATGCTTTGGTAAATGTTTTAGTAATTATTAAAATGCAAGAGGTTTTAATAGGGGAATAAAATAGTTTTTGACTGACTCTAATGGAACTCATTATGGAATGAGTTTAATTTGATAAAAGCAAGAAATTAATTTGACATCTGATAAGAATCTCAAAGAACAAAAAGCGGGAAACTTTATAAAGTCAAAAAGTTTAGAACCTGATTTGCATGACTGCAAATCCAGGAAGAGTAAAATGATTTAAAATTCCAACATTTTATAAACAATATCAAGCTGTACCTCAGTGCCACTGCCCTCATGAAAGCCAGTGTGTGCACCCTCAGTTGCTGCCAGGGTGTGTGCCTGAAGAGCTCTTGAGCCCAAAGTTTCCATGAGGTGATCTAATGCCACAGCACTACTGCATAGTTTGCACCTGATTTAACCTACAGGATTCAGCTGTTCCAGATTTCTTTTGTGAACATGCTCTGAAAAACAACTGTATAAATTTTGTGCCTATGTACTATACATAATTTTCAAAGTTACAGAACAAGCATAGGAAATTCTTTCTTTCTGCTTTGTTTTCACAAAAAGATAATGTCTTTTATATTACTCATTGCTTAGCTTCTAAATCTACCACATTTAAGCTACTTAACTCTTCCTGCTTTGGAGTCAGCAGTGTTTGCTAATATGTCTCTTCCTAATCCCAGAGAGCAATATTTAGCATTAATTGCCAATTAGGCTGTGTTAGACCTAAACTGTCTGTGTTACAATATCATCGTCGACAGCTTGCACTTAAAAGTGACACTAGGCTCAAACTTGCATGAAATGTGGCTCATGAGGTTCACTTTATTATTTTGCTCTGCCTCCATTTCAAAATACCTTCTAAATGAGAATGTATTAACTTAACCTTCAAGCTTTACAACTGGTGAGGGACCATTTTATGACCAATCTGAAGGAGCACCTTTGCAAGAAGTCGCGTCACCACCCGCCCAATGTCTTCTCTCCACTCAGGTATGTCGGGGTTGTACATGTCCAGGTCCTTAGTAAACTTCAGAGGAAGGACATGAAAATTATCTAGAAAAACAAAAAGAAATAGCACGAAATAAACTAGATTGCAGAAGGGGTTTGATAGAACTGAAAGTCTCTATTTAGCACTTTGTGCTGTGCAGCACTGCAGTATCTAGGACCCCTGCTGCTCTCTGTTGTCAGGCATTCAATTTCTTTCTGTATTTTCATCAGCACCATCAAAATTGTGCCCAAAGACTAAAGAAAGGAGGAAGAAAAGGAAACAAAGTAGATTTACATACATGCTCTAGGGTCATAATGTTCCCAATAATTTTCCCCTAGCTCAATAAGGGAGTATTAAAAAGAAGTCATTGGTTTCTTTCATTAGAAATGCTAATGTACCAATGGATTTTATTCTCACTGAATCATAAGCATGTGGAGGTTTTTACACTAGATGTTTCTGTTTTCTGTATAAAATGAACATATTACTCCATAAATTAGATATGAAAATAAGAACAGAAATTACATTACAGAGGCTAACTACTTCCCTCTTTGAAGAAAAAATAAAACAAAGGTACACCCACAATATTTCTCTGGATATTTTCAAAAATATCTGAAATACTAGAAATGGGATGATCCTCAGAAAAAAGTCTCTAAAATCTTCCCTTTCTCCCTACAGGATCCTTGGATGAAAACCTAGGGAACTTAATGCAAAGCAGGGATAGAGAACCTCTGGAATGCACAAGTCAAACCTGCTTCCCCTCAGTGTTTCCAACAGAATTTTATTTAAACATGGCTTTCTTTTTCAAAAGTTTCTTTATTTTTCTGATGGCCAGTACTTTCATGCTCTTGATATCAGGATTGGCAAAAGAAGCACTGGAATGATAAAGCCATTGATGTAGTCACACTTAGAGGGTTATACTTCTAAAGGTTTCTTAAAGAGCTGATGCATTTATAAGTGGTAATATAAATATTATACCCATTTATCTTTGAAAATGAGAAGGTTCATAAAAGCTCCATTTAGCATAAGTGTGGGTTTTGTCATTATTTCAAAATAGTAAGTATAATAAAAGCAAAAATAACACAATCTTCTTCAGAAAACAGAGATGTATCACGTCTTGTATTGCATGATAGCTGAAGGCTTTTAGCTCTGCATTAAAATAAAAGCTTTTATACTTATCACAGTCCCCACATGTGACAGTACAAATACAAATTTAAATAATTTCCCAGCATTGAATTTTCCACAGTATATTCTGCCTTGTCACCACATAATAAAATACAAAAAAAGCCACACCAGGACACAGAGTGGAACAAGAGCTGAAGGGTTATTTAATAATTACAGCAGAGCTATATTTGATCCAAAATCTCAGATAAACATCAAGGTAACAGTGATATATTGTGATGAAAGGCAATTATTTGACACGGTTTTCAATGCTGAGAGCATTTTCTTTTTTTTTTTTTTTTTTTTTTTTTTTTTTTTTTTTTTTTTCAGATGTATTTAGACTACTTTACTTACAAATTCTGGGAAACTTTCTAGTCACTGGCCAAAATACTATTTTAACACATATAGCATCTAGGAACCACAGTAACATTTAAAATAAGCAAAGTAAACAAAATGTTTGACTGTTCAGCTTTGTGGAGTTATTTAGTGACTGTTCATGCCTCTTATTTTAACAATTAAATCTGGCATTAGATTTAATTTTACAATAGGTTCACTTGTGGTAGGGCTGGTTTTAGACATCCAATAAAATTACATATGAAACAAAAAAAAGGAAAAAGACTAATGTCTCACCAAAAACATGGATAACTTTTGAGTCCTGAAGCATAGAGCTCCCACAGGAAACTTGTACTGTAACTCTGACATCACCTGTCTCAGCAAACTTTGTCACCAGAAAACTCTCCAATGTAAGCAGTGGCTTTAAAAAAAACCAAAAAAAACAGAATTTCAGCAAGAACCATGAGAACAGTGCTGAAAAACACTGTTGTTAAAAATATTACCAAAAAAAATTTCACATAAGATTTAAAATTTTCAATATTTTATCAAATCTATCAATTACAATTTTCAATACAGAATTTTTCTTTCCTTGAAAAGATCTTATACAATCAAGCAGCCAGATGAGGAAAATCTTTCTTTTAGAGTAATCAGTCAAGTATTAGGTTTTCAGTCAGATCCCACTAAAATTAATGGAGTCTGAGTGAGACTCAACAATCTCTACAAGATTATATGAAGCAACTCATTTGCCTCAAAAAATGTAGGGTATAAGAGGGTCAAAAGGATTAATGCTGTCAGAGCACCAGCCCACAGTCACCTCTAAGGTGGAGCTGAGATACTCTGCTCCCTTACCACATCCTTAAGAAAGACAAAACCCTTCACAAGACCCTCAGTGCCTCTTCTTGCAATGGCAAAGTCAATAATGATGAGCAGATACAGGCTGGGATTAGGGTAGACAGGACATTCACAAGAAGAAAGTTCACTGCACTTATTTGAAGCATTCCTCTGTCACACTTAGTCTGCCTCATAAAGAAAATTTCTTATCTGTTATTGAAAAAATGACCTTAAAAGAAATTAACCCAGCTATACAATAAATACTCCCCAGCAGAAATACTTGGATATTTAATGCTCTAGGACATGTTTATACAGACTTTGATCCACAAATGAATAACACTAGATTGTTTGAGTGCTCTCAATGTTTTGATATCCTTTAAGATAACACATTTATTTTTGATATGACAGTTATTTTAGACTCACAGAAAACATTTATCTATACAATGAAAAAAACCCAAACTACCTATATATATATTTGTTCAGCACTTCAATTTACATCACTCATGTTATTAGCTTGGAAGTGCATAAATCTAAGTTTCATCATTCATCAGTTATGATTCCAAATCCACTCCCCTCTAGAAACTGTTTTTTCCCACAGGTAATGAAGCAGAAGAAAATGTTGTTTCCCCCCCACAAAGCAAACAGTTTAAAATTAGAAAGAAAGGGACAACCTTTACTGGAAAGGGATTGAAATAATCTCTTGAAATAATCAAAACCATGTGTGTACCTGAAGATTGTTTCCTATCCACCAGTAGAAAACTGTCAAATTAGGGTTTTTAGGCAGGATGATGGCTGTCAGGTTCACCTCCTGGTTTCTCCCAATGACTGGAACCACTTCTAAATTTAAAGCCTGGAGTGGAGCTGAACAAAGTTCCAAAAATATCATTGAACAAGAATCCATCAATTTATTAACACCTCCTTCCCCAAAAGCCTCCCACCTGTTCACCATAAGGTCCTGAATTTATTTTTCCCTTCCTCCTTTCCTTCCTCTTTTACATCCATATTGAAAGCTATGGACATAATTGGAAAGACCTCATTTCAAGTACAAAACATCCCCCAGATGACCCCAAAACCCCTCAAACCAAATCTTAGAGCAATAAGACAGATCAACAAAATGGGCTTCTCTCATACCCATTCGTTTCATTCATGTCCAATTCGAGACACATAAGCAAATACTCCAGTTAAAAACTGGAAAAGGCAATCTCAGCTTTTTTTTTTCTTTTTTTAAACTCAGTAACAAAAGATCAAATGAATAGAAATCTAACAAGTCTCAAATTGCTAAGGGAAAATCAGAAAACTGAAAAAGAATGCTGCTGACTACTCATTTTCATTATAAAATATCAGCTGTTAGGCTCACATAAAAAATCTCATTAATTCATGCTTTAAAATAGATCTGTACATCAGGGGAGCATTTATTTGCAAATCAAAATAGATAACCTCTGGACTCCAAAATGTGGTAAGTTTATTCCTTTCTGAACTACTAAAACCATAAACATGACTATTTGTTTAAAAGAAATGGATCATTACAACAGTTTTATCTGCTTGTGTTATGTTTATTAGTGTTGTGCTGTTTCACAGTACAGTAACTGTGTTGAAAGAAAATCTTTCCCTCAGAGGTTTCCCAGTATATCTTTATCAGAATGTCTGAAGGTAAAAGCTTTTTAACAGCACAATGTGGGAACTAGAATTTCTTAATTTCTTCACCTGCACCAACTACCTGGGATACGAAACCACTGCAGAGTTCAACATTCATTCCTTACACAGAATGAATACCATCCATTTCTGTTCCATTCTAAATATTTTTTAACTCATTCAAAGGTTTTTCATCTCAGTGCAAACTTAATGGTAATTAACACTGCTCTGAAGCATTTCTCTTATTTTGTATCAGGAACTGAGTCATTGCTGGTTCACTTCTAATTTCACTTTGACTAAACTGACTGAACTTCTGAGAGTAAGCTGTCCAAAGCCCTTTTCCACCTCACTTCACTTGGTCTGTGTGATGCTTCATCTGAATGTAAGGCTCTATTTTACTCTGCATTTTCTCCAATAACTCTCAAACCACCTACATGAATTCAAAAAATGTTGGGTGCTTTAACAAATTATTTCTTCAGTAGCTTCCAGAGGAGTAAAAAATGCTTCTCTGGTGATGGTGTCTTGAATAAAATTCAGAAATGTTAGGAATTTCAATAAATTTGTTCCTCCTAGAAATATATTTTCCTTCTCGAAGGATCTGAGAAACTTTTTACCTTCTGCCACAAATCTGTGTTTTCACAGAGGAAACTGATTACTTTGAGATATGGTTTTGTTCCAGAAGAAGATTACTTTCTTTTCCAAAATTTTTAGAGGCCAAGTTACTTGGTACTTGAATGATGACTGTAATTTCAGGTTTGCTCTTTCTATATATTAAAGAGCTGAGAATAATTACTGCAAATCCTTCTGCTTGTCTCTGTTACACAATTCCATAATGCATTTGAACAAGCTTCATAGCACTCTTAAGTGTGTACAATTAAGACTGAAGTTATATGATTTCTATTTAACTAAGTTAAAATTTCAGTAGTTTCCAAAGTTCTACACTATACAGGTCATGGTTCCATGAAAAATAAAATGCATGCAGCATATGTATTAATGGATGTATGCAGCTCTTCTTTAGTTCTTTTTATTCTGAGTTCTTGGGCCTCTACAGTTGCCTACTCACATTTATGCTAATTCTAATTTCTAATTTGTCTTGCAGTTCATTAGAAAGTTTTAGATTGTTTAATCTGGATCAGAAAGTATGATTTGCATGACAGGCTAAAATTCTCATAACTGTCCTGCATTAAAGAGTATCACATAGCAACCTGGCAGAAGTGGAAAGATTTCCTCTTCCATTTCCCTCTGAAAAAATTCCCTGGGAATAATACATCAGTTGAAGACTGCTGACTCCTGAAAGAAGAATTCTACAGAGACCCCTGCTTTCATGGTATTCTACAGTGAAAAATGTCCCTTAATGGCTATCAGTGTTTCACTAGAACGTAGAAATTGCAGTTTAATTAGTGCCAACTAATTTCCTCAAATCTTGTAATTTACCTAAAAAAATTAAACAGAGCAAATCGCGGTGAAAGCATTTCCTCAAGCAGGCTGTGTAACACACTTCCATGAGTCTGCCAGTCCCTGTGCAGCATTCAGGGCAGGCTCAGGCAGGAATCACATCTGCCTCAGTGCCCTGCTGCCTCTGCACTTCAGCACCAGTCCCCTAATGCACCAATCATTTACTTGTGTAAAACAACTCTGCTTTCTGCAATTTGAAAATCTGCTGCATAAAAGAGAATCAACATCTTTTAGTTTTACTGTTTATTCTAACATAGGCCATGTTAAAAGCACACTTTGAGAAAGTCTTCTGCTTTTCATCAGGCCTTGCTACTGCTTGTCATTCTCTGAAGGGTTAGAAGTTATTCTTGGAGAGAAGAATGTCACACAGAGTTTTTTCCTGTTCATTGCTTGTATAGCTCTACTATTTCTTTGCCTACTCCACTTCTCAGCACCTAGAAGCTTCTCAAATGTAACAGTGAAGCCCTAAGTAATTTATCTGAGCTCTTTGGAGGTGTCAAATGATTTAAAAAACAAACACAACAAAGAAACAGATAATGAAACTGAGTTGTAAAATTTGATTCTGAATCTTTATGTTTGATACAAACAGGAGATTGGTCTTTAGCATAAATGTGTTTGCCTTTGTCTGCTACTCAAAGAAGAACTGGAAACTCTGAACTCAAGAACGCTGACTAGCAAAATACAAAAATATCAGCAGTCACTAGACAAGCTGACATAAAGCAGATGGCTCTGTGCATAACCTGGTATATGGCTCCAGTGATTTCCACTGCTTTGGGATTAGGATGGAAGGCACACCACTCACAACAGAGGGAGACAGACACCTGGAGAATGCAAGATGAGTATCTTTCCCTTTGATGTTACTAGTTTCTGAATTTTTTTGACGCATCTGAAAACAGGCAATAGCTGTCCTGAATCTCAAAGGAAGAGGAGAAATCAGTTCCACTTCTGAGTTTCCTTCTTCATTTCAGTTATGAGATGACTGAGGTACATTAAGCTTGCAATGGTGCATGATATTCCCTGGGCCGTGCTATTCTTTATTTTATATCTGTTTGATTGGGGTTTTTCAGTCTTAATTAAGGAGAGGAACAGAAATACAAGTCAAATAATACTGCCTGCAAACATTAAATTATATCCAAGCACCATTTAAAACTCTGTGACAATTAACTACCTAAAATTTAGATTTAGAACCACTGAGATTTTGACTATTTTTTAGAATCATACAAGAACTCATGTTTCCCAACACGTCTGTTAACTTGCTTTACACTGCACCTGGAAGCTCTACAAAGACCTAGCTCAAAGTATTAAATTTTAGCTGCTAAGGCTGACAAGGGGTTTTGAATCAGGAAGATGGATCAAACCTGAAATTTATACTGAGGCATGCTTGTTATTTAAAAGATTAATAAACCATCCTTCTGCCAAATCCAAACAAAACTAATTCTGACCTCCTGCTGGATTAGGTTTACAAGCTTCTGCATTAATAACACACAACACTGCAGGACTGCATGAGGATATTGAAAAAATAGGGTCTTTCCTAATTGTGACTAGCAATTTTCTTTCCTCCTTCATAGCTGACATGAGGTTTGTACACAGTGGCCAAAGTAAGAAAACCAAAGAGCTGATTTACAGTTGACTTGGACGAACACCACAGCCTCGTCATGCCCAGCCACATTCTCAGCCTTCACGGAGACGCGGTAAATCCCGGGATTCTCGTAGCGGTGACGGATGGGCTCTCCAGTCATCGTCAGGTTCACGTATATCGCCTTAAAGCCATCCCCAAGATCTACCTGGTATTTGGTACTCAATACATCACCCTAAAAGGAAATCACATCACAGATATCTGCAATGGCCACAACCAAAATAGACAGGACTCATGTTCATAACCTTTTACGGAATCACAACAGCGTTTTCAGCCCCAGCCAGACATCTTGACCCAACTGCAACAGCTGCAGTAAAACCACTACTGCCATGGCAATTACATTAGTGCAACAGATGCTGTGTGCACTAATAGAGAAAATACCATGTTTACAGAGCAAGGTGCTACCTTAAAATTACATACCCCAGACCACTAACCAAGTTGTATGGGACAGAAACCATCACTCTTCTCTTAATGCAGCTGGACATTATGTAACATAATGGTGCAGAACAGCCCAAGGTTCAAAAGTGATGCTCATGTGATTGTAAGCAACAGAAGATTGCTATTTTAGCAATTTACTACTCATCACATGAGCTTCTAGCCTTTGCAGTTATAAAGTAAAACCAATTGGCCTAGATGTTCTTCACAGCGCTTTCCAGCCATACCTTCTCACTGTCAACCCTGTGGCCTTTAAGACCCAAGCTGGGATCTTTCCAGAGTTGTAGAATGTTACACGGAGCTACCAGCATGTTAAGAGCTAACATGCTCTAGTGCAAAATTAGATGCATGCTTAATAAAGCTGAGTTTGGGAAATGGTTTAAAAGTCCAGTCAAATAATTCGATCATGTCAAATAGCTCATGAAATTTATAATTCATAATACTTCTGTTAAGTGCTCCTTTAAGTAACACTGTGATCCTAAATTCAGGCCTAAAGTGCCACAAGGCTGATACCATTGTCAGAGAACAAACATGCCCATCATTCATGTTGTCACAGCATAGCTGCTCAAGAGAGAAATCAGGTCTGTGCCACATGGACCAGTCATTTGGATTCAGTCAAAGGAAAATTTGTTTTAGCTGTGAGCAGCAATGCTTTTTCAACACTACTGGCAGCACTGCCTGAGCAAGTGGCCCTGATTCCTTGACCTCCAGCAGTGTGGATGTTCCTGCTTGCTTCCCAGAGACCATGGCAAGCTGCAGGGCCAGGCTATGTAGAAAAGCCTCTTGGTTGTGGAAACACAAGTATAGATTTCAAAAACTTCCTTTCCTCTATGAAAGGAATGTATGCACCCATATGCTGGTCAAGCAACATGAAAGGCCATCAAAGCAGAAAAGGATTGACATTAAAGTATTCAAAAATCACTTCATTTCTCCAAAACCCACGCTCTGAAATTGCTTTATTTCAAAATTTAATCCTAAAAGGCAGCACTATGTAATTCTTTTCACGATGACAACGATCAGTGATTGCAATAATCTCCCCAGGAAACTGATTAATTATCCAGAATTCTATTCTATTCTATTCTATTCTATTCTATTCTATTCTATTCTATTCTATTCTATTCTATTGATTTAGCAGGACAGGTGCCAGGCATCTTATCCAGCTCTATGATTTTTCCAAGAGAGGTTAGACCAGATGATCCTTGAGGTCCCTTCCAAACTGTCAGTCTATATTTCTATGATCCTTTGAAAATCAAAGGAGGTATCATGCCTAGAACCCATGTAATCCTGACATTACCTTTCCAAAAGGAAGGAAAACATACTATTATTTCCTCCTTTTATTATTTTACAGTGTGGATGATTTTGTTCCATGTTTTATCACACGAAACAACATTGCTTATAATGTAAAAAATACCCATAATAAGGAACCTCTAGGATTATCAAATACCTAAGCACCATATTTCAAGACACATAAAGGACTGTGAAAGGCTCTTCATTGTGAATAGTTTTTTCCCAAATAACATCTTTACTTTGACAACAGAAGGGTAGAATTTTGCAGAGGAGATAACATGTTATTAAAGTTTAAAGCAGAAGAGATATCTCCTTGCCAGCAATGTGTCAGCAAGTGGAATCTCTTTAGATGACATTAGCTTGCATACAATTCTTTTTCACTCTGTCTAATGCTAACAAGTGTACATGCATATTTTTTCCAGGTGAGACAGAAACCAGCATTGAAAGACAGTAGAGGAAGGTTCTCTTAACATTTTATTCTATTAACTTCCCTAGTGTGAAGATGAGGGTGCTTTCTTCAAAACATCCAGGTATTTCTATTTCCTGACGGGTAAAGACAGAGTATGGAGAAGTAGCAAAACAGTGATAAAGGGAAAAGGCAGATAAATCTATAAGGAATTGGGGACATCTACTTCTATAAAAAATAGAAGATTGTCATGACATTATTTATTCATATATTCAGCCAAAAAAATTTGGGGAAAATTATGACCATGATGGTGTATTTATTCTTTATTATTATTTCTAAGGACAGTTGCAAACTGCCCAAATGTACCAGAAGCCTGCTTCCTTTCCTCTCTAATGTCTGGTATTCCTGCACCTAACAACATGCATTCACAGAAACTAGCAAATTAATTTTGTTCACCAGAGAAAAGAATATGTTTTGGTTTGTTGTAGTAGAGCTGATTCCTAAACTCAGTAATTGTTATGAATTCTCACTGGACTTTGTCATACAGATTAAGTTCTAAGCAGTGCTCAGAACACTTGAGTTTAAATATTATTCTTAGCCATAGAGGGCACCAAACTGCTATATTTCTTCTAAGTCTGTCTTCCTCTTTGATGCATGGAGCAAAGAGTTCACCAAAAGACAGAGCAAGGGATTCTCTTCAAGATCCGTTATTTCTGGAGATTTTTGAATAATTTTAAATGTTTTTCATATTGCCACAGAGATTCATTAAAGCTTCAGTAGGAAGAAACTAAAACTGCCAATCAAAATCATTAAAATCCAAATTGTAACCAAATGCTCTAGGCTTACAATAAACATTTCCAAACAAACTCTAAAAAGAGAAGGCAGCAGGACTTGCCACACAAACTGTTGGGGCACTGCATGCACTGGGACAGAGCCTGTGAAGCATTAAGCAGCCCAGTGTTCTGCACGTGACCTTCTTGATTCTATTACAGAAATAAATCCCAAGTGCTTGATTTATAGAGCACAGGTTTGCCAAAATGTGTGAACTTTCTTCAAGTTCTTGCAAACCAGTGGGGTTAGCCAGGATTACAATACTCTGGTAACCTGAGCAGAGCAGTTATAGCTTAATGCTAAAAAACAAGCATGAGAAAACAAACCCATGGCTAACAATTCATCCAAGAGTTACTCGCTGCTGTTGGTCAGGGCCTTAGGGAATTGTCTTTCAATAAACAGAAAATGCCCCTGTATCTTTGGCAACACAACTAAAATATAAAAATATTCTTATGCTGAGCTATTTGCTGATTTCTGTAAGGCTTTGCCTCATTCCTTTCTGAAAGGTTGATTCTCAAAAGCATCTAAAGCCAAGTATTAAATGTTCTCTCAATTTTTGTTCTTCTCTGATACAGCAGTTGAAATTTTCAGTTCAAGAAGACTTTGGTAATCCAGTTACTCTGACTTTCCAAGAAATCAGTGCTTTTTCTCCTGAGGAGACAAATCCTGTTCTGCGGGTGGAATTTGGAGCTTCACTGAGTTTACTGGCTTATCTTATTCACTTGAAATCAAGTTTCAGTATTTAGAAAGCTGTTAATCTTTGTCTCAAGCACAAATTAATCTTCAATCAGCAGAAAAACAGGTAGGATTGAAACTAACCCTAAAATCAGCAATTCAGCTTCCATGTAGCCAATGTTTATTACTACCTGCTCTTGTTGGACAATGAAGGTGATGTCTTCCCCAGGCCTTACAGCCAGACTTTCTTCTCTGATGCTGATCTGAAGTCCCTTGGGAGCAATCAATGGACACATATGGTGTGCTAAGTTCTGCTGCAGGTCTACTCCACCTTCACACACATTAGAAACAACTTTCCTGTACCTGCAAAAACAGTAAACAGTGGGCACAATGAATTGGAGGTAAGGAAAAGAATGACAGCAAAGGCACCAAATGCATGTGTGATTGAGGCTACTGCATTTTCCTTGGGTTCACTAACAGAGAACATTGCAAATGATCAAAGCCAACTAACAATGCAAATACTCTCATTGCCTTAACTGGGGTAACCTGCTGAAGAAAGGGTGTGGAGCATGGATGAGAATTTCACTTACATGCATTGGAAGAGTCTGTGTTTTCCAACTTAGAAACATGCCTGACTAGCCCTCGGGCACCTAGACAGTCTGCTGTCCCCTCTGTCATCCCCTTTTCTAGCATCCAAGTCTTCAATGCTCTAGAGGTCTTGGTTCAAATCCCACAGATTGGGAAGAAATTAGACCAAACAGCTTCTACATTAACCCAGAACTAATTGCTTAACTGCTGCTTCCCAATCTATTTGTTTCTTAAAACACTTAAAGCATTTGTTTGATATAACTGTTAAAAGAGTGAAAGGACTCACACTTTTAAAGTGCTAATAATGAAATGGTCGGATGTGTACAGTAATTATTTACAGATCACTTTCACACAGGTATGTTATTTTTAAACATCCTTTACAATCAGAGTTACATTTCATTCTTCTGAATTCCCACTCTGTATATCCCAGCTGTCATCCACAACCCAAAAGGCAGCATTTTCCTCTGTAAGGTAAATATACACAGAGACTGCGATTCTATTGCCAGATTGGACATTTCAGCATTTGGTTCTCATCTCCACAACCGACTGTGATGGTGTTATGATAAGCCAGAATAGATGCCAGCTGCAAGTTATTCTCAGCACAGACGTCAGACTACATTGTAGTGTATATTCTATGCAGTATTGTTTATAGTTACTAAAGCTTTCCTTTGATTCTGAGTGTCCCATATGGTCAGGAAAAGAATCTTTTCTCCACAGAACTCCTTACCCTTATGGAAGTGAGAAACTTGGAAATTCTGTGAGATGCTGTCAGTTCCTCAGAGTAATTCATTGGATCCAAACTGAAAATTACTCTGAACCCAAGAAACGAGCTAAAAGGCTCATGAACATTCCTATCAGAAGTGTAATAATAGATACAAAATATTACCAAAAAAATAAAAATTCTGAAAAGACAGCTCACCCTCTTCTCAAATGGATTAGTTTTTAAGTGCTGTGAACACACAAGGCAATATTTTCCTTTCATTAATCTGTAGGAACTTTCTGATCATGCCCTATTTCAGAATCAGAACTTTTCCATTTCCCAGTTTTTACAGTTTGCCTAATTTACATTTCATAGAATCATAGACTGGTTCGGGTTGGAAGAGACCTTAAAGATTATCTCTATTAACCCTCCTATCATGGACAGGGACATCTTCCACTAGATCAGGATGCTCAAAGCCCCATCCAACCTGGCCTTCAACACTTCCAGCGATGAGGAATCCCCAGTTTCTCTGGGCAACCTGTGCCCAGAGAAACTCACCACTCTCACAGCAAAGAAATTTTTCCTATTATCTAATCCAAACCTTCACTCCTTCAGTTAAAGGCCATTCCCCCTGGTCCTATCACTACATGTCCTTGTGTAAAGTCCCTCTCCAGCTCTTTTGTAGACTCCATTTTAGTATTTAAATATGAATTTCTTTCAAACCACATTTGAGGCTACTGATTTAAATATTCTACCCCTCTCTGGAAGCCTCATCGAGCCCATGAAATGCAAAATCAGCTTACCCAGTGCTGCTGGTGTATGCCTGCCCCAACACACAGTCTTCAGGAGGTGCCTCTGGGTTAAACCAAAAGTCAGCAAAGCATTTGCTCGACTCCAGCTTCAGAGGTGCAGAGCGCTCAAACCCGTAATCACTGAAAAACATCAACACCAAACATGTTACGACACCCACTTCACTCTGCAATCCAGTTTGGGGTGAACGAGACTACATTTTTCAAAGTCAATATATTTTTTCAGTGTTATTCTACTAGATGAACATACAAGTTGATGAAGCCAATTCTGTTCTAATTTCAGTGGGAGTTGTGTACACTTGGGGGAAAAACTGGTTGCAATTACTTCGTCAGTTCTGCAAAATTACCTCCCTTGGTAAAAAAGAATTTTTTTAAAGGTTTCCTTTGACACTCAGACCAAACATTTCTTTTCTTTTCTTTTTTCTTTTTTTTTTTTTTAAGCTTGCCTTTAAAATTAATTCCATGGTCATTTTTCAAGTCTTGGTCAACAAAGAAAAACATCAGGATCTGTTCAGTCAGGTGAAACAAATACTTAAACATAGCAAGATTTTTAATGGGAACAGGGGCAAAAGGAGGAAAATAAACCCATCTCAACCTCTATGTAAATATTTATTAGAAATAAGTCAAAAGGCCCACAGACAGACTCACCATAAGAAATCAGTGTTCACACATTCACAAACTTTGGATGTGAGAGCTGATGTGAAACTTTTCCCTTTAATGCACCAAGATGAAATCTTCCTCTTCCGAAAGCTTCTCTGCTGGCCCATGATGCAACGATCACCCTGAATATCAAAGCACTGGACTTATTGCCACAGAACCTCCACAAACAGACCTTGTGTTGTTCTGAGAAAGGCTGGTCTTCCTGCCAAGACTATAAACCTTACCAGCCCTCTGATCTCAGATATATAGGTATAGAAAGCCCTCATATCCACTGCTGTCCACTAACAGATCATTACAGAGTTGTAACATGGGCCATATTTCCAGGACACAAATCTGAAGATGCGCGTGAAAATGAAAGTGCAATTTATGTTTCATAAGTGCCCAACCTGTGTGCAAAGCTCAGAACTGCCATTTAAAAATTTCATCTGTCTGCAGATAGTGAATTTCTCTAAATGACCATATCTCATGTTGCCTGTCCATTTGAAGCACCAACCATGAGGACACAGAACGAGCTCTCTCCATACACACTCCATGGGTAAATGGGCAGCTGCAAGTACTCTGTCAAAGTAATTTTAGTAGTTTCTAATTTCTGAAAGATATTTCAATGCCAATACCCCAAGATACTGTTACCCTTTAGGCTCAGATCTGTGTAACATTCTTTGTATACACACAGCAGTCCCAAACAGGAGGTGTAAAATTAGGCACGAGAACTAGAAAATGAGAGCTGGAGTAACACTGAAGTATGCGAAAAATAAACCAACCCTGGTGGAAGAAGTAAAACATAAAAATCAGAATGATTATGAATAAATATGATGTGTTCCATTTAATAAAAAATACCACCACATATTGGTCTCTTTAATCAGTACATTGTACAGACAATTTAGCTTCCGGAAAGTGGATTTGGCCAGAGCATCGTGATTAGCACAGCCTTAGTGCACTATGAAGAAAGGATATTGCCCAAAACAACTGGACTCCATTACATTATTGGTCCACTGAGATCCTAAATTACTTCTGGAATGGACTTTACTTATGGCAATTTATATATGAGTATGGTATGTGGTCAGGAAGTTGGCAGAACATGACTGCATGTTGAAATTGTTTCAATCAATATTACACACTTCACTTTATGGGACATGCTTCCCAACCCAGCAGGACCACCTATTATTATGGCAACCCCCCAGATATACTTCTGCCTTTTCTGGGACACAGATCACACAACCAAAGGGAACACAAAATCCTCTCTGAATTTAAACTCCAGCGAAATCAGCATAAGGAGACTAAGCTGTGGGTATAGCATCCCAATTCAATTTGGAAACATTTTCTTAGCACACAACACTATATGAATCTGAAAGCTATGGAAAAATTTTGTCAGTTAACATAAAACTATGAATACCTGCAGATTTGTGAGCTCCCAAGACTCATAGTCTTCATCAGTGCACTCCCTGGGGAAGGATGGTCTGAAATCCACCTTCACCAGTTCCCAGTCTGAGCGGTAGCTGATATGTCCAAAGACTCTGAACAAAAGACCAAAAGGAAACTCTTACTGCAAAGAAATACCAAACAGCTTAGATTCAAAATTTCAGTCTTATCTTTTCCTATCCACAGTCATAGCTCTCTGCTAAAAGGTCCCAGGTTAATTTTTCTTCCACTTTTATTCGTCTTCTATGTACAATGAGTCTAGTTAGGAAACACTTGTTAATTGTATGAAACTTTACAATGAAGAGATATAACTCATATGTTAAAGGTTTTTTTTTCCCTAGCAAACTATCCAAAAATTAAATAGGGAATAATATTTTCTAATTTGAAATAAATTTTTTTCTCTATTATCTTGCTATGTGAAACAGACAGAGCTCTCAGATTTTGACAGGAAGCTCAGATCAGGGAGCAGAAACCCAGGATTTTGACAGAAAGCTCAGATCAGGGAGCAGAAACCCAGATGACCAGAGTCAGTTTCCAGCTCTGCTGCTCATTCCTTGTGATTTGCAATTTCTTCAGTTGTTTTTCTTGTGGGATTTTGTGTTAATTTCTACAGTCTTCAGATGGCAACGTACTATTGTTAAACTCACAGCATTATCATAATATTTTATTAATTTCTAAGGAATACACTACATCATCACAGTGTGCTGGAGAATTCAGAGTCTCTTCTTCATTTCAGATAGTTCAGAGTATAACAAAAACCAGCCAAAAATGGTATAATCTTTTTTTTTTTTAGGGGGGGAAGGAAAAAAAAAGGAAATCTCATTACCTTAAAAAACAAGCTGCACTTTCAAAGCAGACAACATTTTTTAAGACAGAATCTTTATTTCCAAAACAAAATGGGTACATATGACATCAAACAACAAATTAGAAAGGATAAAGACTCTTTTTGGGCAAAAGTAAAATGTATTTGTGGTTTGTATCAGGCTTATGTGACTTACTTGCCAAAGAATTTAAGGTTAATTCTGAAGCCAACAATTTCTGTGCAGTTCATACTGCACGGAGTTCATATTCCAAGCTTTAGTATCATTGTCCAAAGTAATTAATTCCTTTTGCTTTGCCCTCAGTTTTGTCCAAATCCAGGCACAGCAGGAACGGTAGAGTTTTACTAAAATCATTCTGCAGTGCCCAGTCATTTCTCTTGTCCTGAATTCCAGGTTCAGATTGGAACTGGAGTAGACCAGAAGTAACTGATTTTCTACAGCACAGGGGCAATACACAAAGCATGTTCCCTGGTAAATGGCTTACAACTCTGAAATATTCCAAAAAGGCTGAAAAATAGTTCACAGAGACTAAAGATGTACAATGATTTCCCCCTTTCCTTTCTGGTGTCTTTGCTTCTCCTCCACAGCAGAGAGCTGTAGATATCAATAGGTTATTGCTCACACTGCTCCCATTATAGTGACTGGACAACCCATGCTCACAGGAAACCACACCATAAGCAGTGCAGTTAATTAAACACAAACATATGCATTTAGTTTGTATTTCTTACTCTTTTCTTGTAAGGCTCTGAGATTAAAGGACTTGGAACATTTAATTCCTTTCCTTCTAAACGTACTTATGGCTCAGAAGTAGAAGCAATGCACACAAACTAAAAAATGTGGCTCAGTCACTGGCTGTATGTGCACATAGGTGTGTGGTCCCATTTCTCTCATTAAGCCTAAGGGTTTGGTTCTTTTTTCTGGTTCAGCTGGATCCTAAGAGCTGCTGTCACCATATAATCTTATTCACTGGTAGTTACATACTCAATAAAGTGTCTACCTAGGTGGTCTCTTGCTTTTTCCACAATGCCTGTTTCAATATGACTGGGTTTGCTGACAGACATGAAGTGTCTTTTGTATGCAAAATGTCCTGTGCCTGTTTTCTAAAATCTTTGTTTCTCCATACAAGGTACTAACATAAGGCAGACTTCACCATGTGCTTATGCAACTACCTACCTCAGTGATTGCTGCTCCAGGCATCACAAAACTTCACAAATTTACTGCATTTCTTTTATTAACTCATTCATAAAAATATACATTCAAGTTCAAGTAGCCAAGTTAAAGCTTCACTCCTGCCTCAAGAAAAGTATTTTCTACAGAACAAATGAAATTTTCTCCATTCGTGTGAGCTATCTCAGGCAGATTAGCCAAGGAAAGAGGAAGAAAGGAGGTGGTGTTTTGAGTTCAAGGCAGAACAGAATAATGACATTCTCCTGAAAACATAATCTCTGAACTATTATTAATGCTCTTTGAAATCTCATGAGGATGATTCCAAATAACTATGGCAAGGGAAAGATGTTGCTTATATATATAAATACACACACACAACCACACATGCACTTTTATGTGTGTATATAGAACCAGAGATATAAAAGAGCAAAACAGAGCTCAGAGAGTTAGAGATTAATTTTGATATCCACAGAGATACCAAAAAATTATTGAGCTATCCACTTCTAAGCACCTTGGAGATAATTAAAATGATAACAAACAGCTACCACAGATTTATCAAAACCAAATCATGTCAAACTAATGTAATTTTCTCCTTTTACAGGGTAACTGGATTAGTGGATAAAGGAAAGAAAAAAATGCAGCATATTTTGACCTTTGTTAAAACTGTTACACATTTCTACCTGACATTGTCTCAATATAAAAAAGAAAACAGTGCAGATAAAATCACTGTGAAGAGGAATGGAAGTACATATTGAATTAGAAGAATCCATTTTCAAAAGGTAGTTATCAAATAAAGAATATTTTGAGGTATGTAACACAAAGATATGATGGGCCCACAGTCAATATTTTCATTAACAATTGTGGTCCAATAAGACAAAAAGTTTTGCTGATAACACACAAAGAAGGGAGTGGACATGATGGAAGCAATGTTCAGAAATCAATATGATGACATACTCCAAAACCAAGCAAAAAGTACTCCTTGCGAAAAAAGAAACCCAAACCCATATGAAAGGTAGAAACCAAAATGGAAAATAACTTTCAAATATCAAATAAAAGACTTGGGTAATTCTGTGGAATTAAAACAAGAATGAAGTGTTGCTGCAAAATAAGAAAGACTAATTCTAGGTTGTATTCAGAACTCAAAAACAGAAGATATGGGGGTAATTATTTTGATAAACTTGGCTCTGGTAAAGCCTCTGGAAGAATATTGTGTCTAATTTTGGATTTTATATGCATATTTACAGACCCACTAAAAATGAATTTGAAGAGGGGCAAAATGACTCATAAGCTGCTTAGAAAATGTAACCAATGAAGAATGATTGAAAGAATTGGGTTTTTCGCTGGAATAGATAAAGCTGTACAACAAAATGTTTGCAGAGTCTTGTTATAGAGTAAAGAGCTGACTTCAAAGAGACCTAGAGGAAGGGCAAGAAAGACCAAGGACAAGGATCAGTTTAAAAGATACTGCCACATTATTCTCTAATTCCTTCTCCTCAGTACTGGTGAGTTTACATGCGAAGTGCTGGGTCCAGTTCTGGGCTCCCCAGTACAAGAGAGAGATGGAATGACTGGAGGGGGTCCAACAGAAGGCTGTGAAGGGATGAAGGGGCTGGAGCAGCTCTTGTGAAAGGAGAGCTTGAGAGAAGTGGGACTGTTCAGCCCAAAGAAGAGAAGGCTCAGGGGAAAATGTCAAAAACTCGCTATAAACATCTGGAGGGAAGGCACAAAGAAGATTCTTTGCTAGGATTTGAGCCAGGTCTTCAGTGGTGCCCACTGACAGGACCAGTGGCAACAGATTCCAAATGAAATACAGGAAGTCTTCTCTGAACATCAGGAATCAACATTTCTGCTGTGAGGGTGCACTGTGTTCAGGGGCCCAGAGAGGCTGTGAGTCTCCACCCCTGGAGACATTCAAAAGCCATCTGGGAATAGCCCTGTGTGAGTGGCTCTGGGTGGGTGTGTGTGAGCAAAGGGGTTGGACCAGATCATCTCCAGAGGTCACTTCCAACCTCAGTGATTTTATGATTCTAGAATTCTGTTGAAGTTATCATTCAAGATGTTGAAGTTGTTCATTCTGCCCCACTAGAGTGGGAAATTAGAAAATATCAGGATTATAGATAGAAGGTAGATAAATATTGTCCAGTTCCACACCCTTTAAGTATAGAAAAACTATAGAAATTACTCTGGAAATTATGCAAAATCTCCTGGGATAATATGGCAGCTATGTACAAACCATGTGTGCAAACAGCAAAGTCACTGTTTCAGGGGGTGAACTGTAGCATTCTCTTCTGTGGATTTTTAGCAGAAGACTGAAATAACATTTCTGCACGTTGGTCCAGGCTCTTGGGGAAAAAAAAAAAAGGAACCCAACAAAAAACCCCAAAAACTCATTTCCATTATGGCTGCTCTGATTCTACAAACTGAAGATGACGTTCTCACAGAGCACAGTAACGACACCAAACATTCTCTGGCTTAAATAAAATCCCAAAGATTTAAGAAAGTGTCCCAGTACAGTCACAAACTCCATTAAAAATCCAGACACACAGCTTTGTAATTCCTAGGGTAAATTTTCCAAGGAATGAAGCATTTTACACACATCCACTTTAGCAAACTGTTTGAAAAAAGAGTCTTAATGATTATTAATGCTGTTGCTGCAGTAGCATGTGTTGCAGACACCTCACATGAGCACACTTAAATGTGCTGCTAAAGATAACTAGAATAAAAAAGAAGTATTTTTCAAGGTAACTAAGGAAGTATTAAGTAGGATTCAATGGATTAGACAAAAATATGAGCTACAATAAAGCAATACATAACAGCAATCACAATATAATTGCTCAGGTGCAAAATATATAATATATATGATGAATAAAATCATATGAATGAAAAAAAACTGAAATGGTGCAGCAAGTGTAACTGATGACTAGAAGTTATATATCAAGATGATAGCAATTCATAAGCTACTAAAACCTTCCTCTTGATTAACTATATTTCATTAGAAAGCCATCAAATCAATTCTGTTGAAACCATAAAAGATGATGCTGTGATAAATAATTTTTGGAAGAAATTCCAATTACCTTGGAAATTAATTTACTTTTATTTGCAAGATT